GGGTCAGGCACTTTTTTTCTAAGAACTTTCCTAGAGTTCAGCATATTGCCTCAAAAGAAGGAAGTTGGTATTTGGGGGCAGAGTGTGGGAGAATGAGAGTAGAGATGAAAGCTTTGCTGAGAACATGTTTTGAGAAATAACTCATCAGAAAGTGGCTTAGGGTAATTTTTATATGTTGGTTATGTATACCCACTGAAAATGTCGTTTGCCTCATTGTTACAGGAGTGAAGCTGTGTAGCTCCTAAAAGGATTTCTCTTACACAGAATTCCTTGTAGGTTGGGCTTTTTGTTTCTGTGTGGTTGTTTCTTCTGCTTTTGGAGAGGTCCTCATCTAAGGAGGCCGCTTATTCTCTCTTTATAACCCCATGGATGGCCCCTACCTCGAGCTGTGGTCTGTTTCCCTTAGCCTCTACCCATTGCTCTGAGGTCTGAGTCTGAAACCACACAGCAGATCCACTCCCATGTGATAGGTGGAAGGTGTCCTTTCTCTGTGAAGGTGGCTGTGTTTCTCAGAAGCATTGTCTCTCCCAGCTAAACACCTCCGGTCTTCTAGGGGACCCAGGAATGGTGTCACGTGCCCTCACCTTCCTAATCTGTGCTTGTCGCTGAGTCATGGGAAGCAGAGCACACAGATGTGTGCTTTCCTTCCTGTGACCTGAGCCCTGCTGCGTGTTTACATTGTTTTTTATTTTTGTTTTTTTTTTAAAGATTTCACTTATTAATTTGACAGGAAGGAGGGGGAGAGGGAGAGAGTGTGCTGCTACAAAGCAGGGGAGGGGGGCGCATGGCAGGCAGTGGGAGAGGGAGAAGCAGGCTCTCTCCTGATCAGGGAGTCCACCTCAGCCCAGATGCGGGGACTGGATCCCAGATCCTGGGATCATGACCTGAGCCAAAGACAGACGTTCAGCCGACTGAGCTACCCAGGCGCCCCTCATGTTCACATTTAAGCTTAACCCTGTGAGTTTCATTTTTTAGCTGTCTGTTCTTTTGGAATCTATTAGTTCCTCTCTCAGTCCTGCTGCTACTGCTTCTTGCTTGGAATTTTTGGTATGAGCTTTCCATTCAAATTAGTGCCCCATCATCTGGATCCCCCCCACCTCCTTTTCGGTTCTTCTGCCGCATCATGTCTGGGCCTTAAAGACACCGGCATGAGCCATTGCCCACAGGGCGAGCTTTCACGTAGGGCTCAGAGTGCTAGTTGAGGTTCTTCTCATCAGGCCTGAGGTCTGTCTTTGCAGCTTGTCTCCTGCAAAGGCAAAGATTTCTCTCCTTTGGAGTGTTCGAGAGTTTCCTTTCTCCCTCAGCAGCCAGTTCAGATTTCACTGTGAAGAAGCCTCCGCTCTCTCCCCTGTGCGGCTAGTGACTTTGCTGCCCTAGGGCCCCTGTTTTCGGTTAACATACCACCATTTCTTTGGGGTTTGTCCCTACCACTGTGGACTCGGAGAGCCCAAGTCTGTTCACTCTGTTCGGCTGCCCGAGTGCAGCGTTCTTGGCCCAGTCACTGGTGTTTGGTAATCATGCCTTCATCGAAGCTGTTTTCCCACTTGGGTGGAGGAAAATCGTGCGTGCTCTTGGAGCCCGTCTTCAGTCCCCACTGGGATCCCTGACGGCGGTAGTGCCCGAGCGCTCCCTGAAATGCTGTGAGGGTGTTACGTGTAAATATACTTTCCGGGAGAAGGATTCTTGTGTCTGAGTGTTCTGACCCCACTGGTTGTGTCCCTCACAGGGCATTGGGTTCGGAAATCAGTGCCTGAACCCTCCCCAGGTAACCAGCGGCTTCACCCATGCTTGTGTTTTGGCCTCACATTACTTGTTCTGAGGACACACAGTTGTTTCTGTTAATAGATGTTGGGTCATTTTAGGACATCAGATTTGTTGTATACCACAGGCTGTTTTTATAATACGCACCTTTAGAAAAGTTAGTTGGCTTTAAGTTGAAGCAACATGGGAGTGTCTTACTGAGAATTTAATTTCTAGGAGCTGGGAATTGTTTTAGGCTTGACTTTGCGGGCTTCAGAGGTCTGCCAGATTGGCCACTGTGCAATACATACCTTTTACTAGGGGAGTTCTGAGGTGAGTCGTGGAGTAACAGTAACTGTTGGGATTGTTGAAGGACTTGGGTTTTTGTTAGCTGGACCAGTCTCATAACCAGCTACCTGGCACTGTTTTTAGTGCCGATGGTTTGGCCAAAGCTGGTAACAAAGTCATTATGGCACAGGATTGCTGTTTCAAGTTCTTTGAAGGAGTAAATTAGCTACAGAGTACTCTTGCTTCTTGGGCCTATGATAGTGCATCCTGTTCCTGAAACCTGATAGGTTTTGGCCCTTGTAGCCAATTCCTGACTGGGATGGTTGGAGAAAAATCCTGGATCAAAGTTCTAGTTCACTGCATATTTGCGAGAATGGGGAGAATGGTGGTAAGTCAATCGCCTTGTGTAGGGAAGGCTGCTCCTGGGCCCTGCCTTTTTCTCTGAATCCTGTGTGGCTCTGGTCTGCTGATGCCTAACCTCTTTCTGGCTTCCCTGTGTATCACTGCATTCTTTTGCCTAGAGACTCATTTTGTAGCTTCCTGTTATTTTTCCGGCTCTTTTCTCCCAGTTGGAGGTAGAACCAGTTGGTGTATCTTGGGTGCTTTTCAGGATTCCCTGGGGCCTGGTACCTGGGAGGAACATGGGAGGTGCTCTTGGAACCTGTTGGCTCTGTGTGCTCTCGGGTGACACCCCATACTTCCCAGAACCCTTACCCTTGTGACACAGTTTCTGCCCCCTCCCCTTTTCCCCAGACCTGCAGCCGATGGCTGGCCCCAGCCTAGCTTGTCTACATTTCAGGTACTAAGCTGCTGTGAACCATCTGGGGATTAGTATGTACTGTTGAATCTGCTGCATGTTTTCCCCTGGAAACCAGAGTCCGAGCCAGTGGCTGTTGGAGTGTGGCTAGTTCAGTTGCATCTGTGAACTGGTTATGGATGTGATTTTCGCTGCAAAGGGCCATTGAAGGCAGTAACCTGGGGAGCAGCAGATTCCTTCACCAGTGTCTGAATGGATACAGATCATCTGGCTTGAGCTTTCTGCAAACCTGTGACTCAGTCTTTGTGTGAATAGTTTGTGGAATATAGCTTTGGTTGAAAAGCTAGGAATGACCGCATTTCATTGCCTTCCCTTTCCTGGAGTGAGAGCACCTACCAACCTCCGTGTTTTGTCTACTGTGTGTGTGTTACACATCTGTGGAATCACTGTGCCTTCTCGTTGGCTTACAAATTGAAGCAAGGTGCCGCGGGACCCTGAGGTTCTCAATTGAGTTCATGGGTGGCGGTGGGCTTTCTCCTCAGACTTGGGCCTCGTGTTTCCTATTCACAGTAGAAGGTGGTTCTGCCCTACTGAAGTGTCGTTGGGAGTTGGCGTCCTGTGCCATTACCCACCTTTGTGTAGCTCGCCCCGATGGAATCTGTTGTTTTCTAGCTGACTTGTTGGCTTAGAGGTGAGATGCCAAAGTCAGGGTTACCATAGACCTATTTTAAGAAACATAGGTACTCTTAAGGTAGTTTATAAAGTAAGTGGACATGTAAAAGTGGAAAAAGAAAAGTTATTCACATACAACGTAATATTGGGAGTTTCAGCGAGCCACCCTGCCTTTTCTGTGCAACTTCTGTATAATTTCATATTCTTGACTTTTTTTTCTACTTGATATATAATATTTCTATACTTAACAGCTACATAATCTTTTTAGTAAGAGTATCATTAGTTTTTTTCCCCTCTGTTTTTGGCCATTCAGGTTACATCTACTTTTATTTTCAGTATTGTAAATTACACTTAATAAATATATTTATGCATATCACATTTTGCCTCTTGGATTGCTGTATTTCCTTAAAATCTATTTCTAGAAATGGATTACTTTTTAAAAAAAATTTTTTAAAGTAGGTTCCACACCCAGTGTGGAGCTCAGTGTGGGGCTTAAATTCATGACCCAAGATCAAGACCTGAGATCAAGAGTCAGGACATTTAACTGACTAAACCTCCAAGGTGCCCCTAGAAGTGGATTACTTCTCTTTTTTTTTAAATTTTATTTATTTATTTGAGAGAGTGTGAGAGTGGAGAGGTCAGAGGAAGAGCAGACTCCCTGTGGAGCAGGGAGCCTGATGTGGGACTCGATCCCAGGACTCCAGGATCATAACTTGAGCCGAAGGCAGTTGCTCAACCAACTGAGCCACCCAGGCGTCCCTGGATTACTTTTTTGAAGAGGGATTTTTCCCCTCCAGTTTCTGACATACATTAATATATTAAGAAGTTCTTACCAGCCACGTTTATTGGCCTTACAAATGCCTATTTTACTATAGGCTTGTCACTTTTTTTCCCTTTGGCTATTTAACTTTCAAAATACGGCACCTTCTTGCTGTAACCTGTGTATCTTTGGTTCTAAGGGACTTGGAGCAGTTCTTGTGTTTTTCCCTCATCCTGTTTCTGCACATGTGACTTCTGCCCGAGTCCTTTGTTCACACTCACAGCAGGTGCCAGGCCGTGCACCCGGTTTTGAGTGAACACCTGTTTGCTAGGTGGTACCAGAGGGGAATCACGGAGGGTTTTTGTTGGTAGAATTGTTTATGAAGTTTGATTTATAAAAGGGCTCTTCAACTAGAACATTAAGAGTCATTGTTTGTGTAATAAGGATATGAATCTTGTTTTCCCTACAGATTAAAAAAATTCTGTAGAAGTTGAAATTTTCTAAAATTAAATCTGTCAGAGTTTTCTCCCATGATCTCTTTTATTCATGGAAGATTTTTGAGGTTATAAAGATTACTGTTTAGACGTAGTTCAAGAGGAAAAAGGCACGCCAGGCAAATTAGTCCCTCCCGGCCCTGTGACTTAGGCGGACTTAGACGGTCACCGAGCTTCTTGAGCCAATGCCGCTGTGTGGTTTGTGCACCACAGGGGCTGAGCTGGTGTGTCCTTCACCCTGGGTAGCTGTGTGAGGGGGGCCGCCTTCTCATGCTGGTTTTTCTTTCAGCTTTAGCCAGCCCTGTCCTGGGCCTGAAGGAATGCACTAGAGGCTCGGCGGTGTGGTGCCAGAATGTGAAGACGGCAGCTGATTGCGGGGCCCTGAAGCACTGCCTGCAGACCGTCTGGAACAAGCCGACGGTGGTTAGTGCCATGGGGACTGTACCTGATCTCCTTACGTGGTCTGGAGCTGTTGGCCATTTCCAAAGCTTCCAAAGCATGCTCTTGTCTCACTTCATTTGCTCCTCTCGGTGGCCCTGCTGGGGAGGCACTCCCTGTTGAGGGGTGCATCCGTTTCAGCGCAGTGGAAACGGAGTCTCAGAGAGGTTAAGGTTCTCTTCCTCCGAGGTCGTTGAGTCTCCTGATGGCAGAGGATGAGGTCCGCCCATGGCCACTACTGTGTGCACCACATGCTGCCTTCCGGGCCTCTGGGCCCATCCCACCTGTATCATCCCAGTTTTAGTATATGTGCTGCCGAAGCAAGCTTGATGCTACTGATTTTTCATCCAAATGGTGTTAAATATAGCATATTAATACGGGGCTCTTAACGCTCATGGAGAATAATACTCAGAGATGACAAAGCTCAGGGGCATTCTTCCCACCACCAGAACCCCTCTCAGGAGTAGCCCGAGCTGTGCTGGTTGCACCAGCTGACTGCAGAATGCAGGCCTGGCTTGCTCTGGGCTGCCTCTGACTGCGTGGAGTTCCAGGTCTAAAACTTGACACTAGTGGCCACTAGAGCTGCTTCATTATGAGAAGAACAATTAAAAACCCTGTTCTTTTAAAAATACTTTCTGAATTTGCTGGATCACTACCGTTTGTGGCCAAAATTACTTTCTGATTTGGTTTCTAATTTGCTTCTCATCTCGTTTTTAATACGGCTTCCTCTTTTCAATTTCAGCATGTGACAGGGGAGGACTTAGCTCTTTCTCTCTCTCTCTCTCTTTTTTTTTTTTTTTAAGATTTTATGTATGTATTAGAGAGAGAACAAGAGAGCACAAGCAGGGGGAGAAGCAGGCTCCTTGCTGAGGAGGGAGCCTGATATGGGACTTGATCCAGGACCCTGGGATCATGACCTGAGTGGAAGGCAGATGCCCATCCAACTGAGCCACCCAGGCACTCAGCTCTTTTTTTTTGATACGGCAGTCTCAGGAGTGCCTGAATCTGGTATTAGCCTAACAAGGCCCGGAGGTTCGGATAGATTTCTTTCCATGCAGCTAAGTTACAGGTGTTCCTTCTTCTCACCCAGACGTGTTAGTTCCTTCTTCGTGGGTTGAAAATCAGTTGCCCTTAAGATGGAAGCTTCCCACGAGCCTCAAGAAGCAGCTATAATCTCCCATGTCCTGGGCCACATGGGGCCATGGGTGCCCAGGCTTCTCAGGGGATGGGTGTGATGTTTCTAAGCTCTGGGGTGGTGACATATGGCTTCCACGTGAACATAGCAGCCCCTGGGAGCTGGAAGGGGATAGAGTGCAGGAGTCAGTGCCATTGTCTGGCTGGGCTTCTCTGCCACACCACCTTTTACTGTCTTATAGTGATACTGGCCCCAGGTGACTGGTTTTCTCTAATTTCTGCTGCTCTGATTTTCACCTTTCCAGCCTCAGTTTCTTCCTGGAGCTGTTGCGAGCATTAGTATGACATTTGGCCTGTGCCCTGTGTGCTGAGGCATAGAAAAGGGTACAAGAAAAGGGTATCTATCCCTAGAAGCACAGAGTGTTCTGGTCAGTGCCTCCGATCCTTCCCATGTGGCATCTGTGTGCTTCTTATCTAGGTTGGGGAACCAGGATGTGCCTGTGTGTCTGACATCCCTGGTTAGATAGGATAGCACAGAGGCCGGGGGGCTTCTCAGCTCTGTACGGTGTGCATTACATCCTGCAAATACAGCTCGCTCTCTCCCTCATATTCTTCCTCTTAGAAATCCCTTCCCTGCGACGTATGCAAAGATGTCATCACTGCAGCTGGCGACATGCTGAAAGACAATGCCACTGAGGTGAGCCTCCAGCGGGATGTGTGACCACACGTGCACAGTGGCCACACAGCCATGTGTGTCTGTTCCTTACAGGAGTTTTCTGGGGCTTTGGGGCCTAACGAGGGATGGTCTAGGGCCAGGTAGGAAGTAATTCAGATCTTGTGAGCCACATACGTCTTCTAACATAGTTTTTTTCTTTTCGCCCTACATCCTTTAAGAATATAAAAGCCATCCTGAGCCACAGGCTGAACAGAAACAAGCTGTGGGACCTAGCTGGCTGTTCCCTGGCCTCAGTGTTTAAATGCCCAGGGTTGATGGGGATTTTCATATTGCTGGTGGCTACTTTTAGGTCCGTTTTGGCTGTCTCTGCTCAGAGTTCCCTGTGCCTGTGAGACGCAGGTCAGAGCGGCCTCATTTCGAGGAACGTCTGCTTTTTGCCTGTGTGTCTGATGCAGCCACGGCCAGCCACTGGGCCTCTCCCGGGCTCTTCCCTAAGGCTGCTGTTTGCTGGGAGGTGTGGAGATCCCCTGCTCTCAGTCCTTTGCAGAGCAGAAGTCCATCCTGATCCGACTGTTGCCTGTATCCTCTTAGCAAGAGATCCTCGTGTACTTGGAGAAGACCTGTGACTGGCTGCCTAATCCGAACTTGTCTGCCTCGTGCAGGGAGATGGTTGACTCCTACCTCCCAGTCATCCTGGACATGATTAAAGGACAAATGGTATGTGGTGGTGGAAAGACACTTTCTTTAGGGAACTTCGGGTGCTGTGGGAGGTGCCAGACCAGAACAGAATGATGAAAGTGGGAAGTTTCCGTGGATTTGGATTTTCTCAACAGCTTGTCACTGCAGTTCTGACATCTGCAGATGGCTTTGGCCCTCAGAACACTGTGCGTGTAACCTTCGGTTGAGGGAGAGTACAGGAAATGGAAACTTGAAGAATGAAGGAATTGTAAACTGCAACATTTATACGTGCCCGTTTGCTAGCTCATGTCATAGCTTTAGCTCTCCCTTTGAGCATGCAGTTCATTCCATTTCTGGGATTTTATCTTGAGTGGACTCAGCGACTCAAGTGGGTTCTGCTTGCATTCAGATAAGCATCTACCATGCGTAAGCCACATGCCACAGACGAGCCGGGTTTGTGGAATTAGGAAAGACCGTAAGAAAGAGGAGGTGCTCAAGAAAACCGGGCCAGCAGGGAAGGAGTGTTCCGAGGCTGGACCAAGGTTTTAATGAGAATGGCATGGGTCACACCGTGCAAGGCCTTTCTGGCACTGTTCCAGGATTGCAAATGCAGTAGGAAGTCCTCAGAGGGCTCAAGGGAGAAGTGACATCAGAGGTGCCTTCTTTGAAGGGTTTGGTCTAGGTCCTACCAGTTGGGAGTTGGAAGAGGGGAGGCTGGCAGGACAGTCTTTGTGAGATGTGATGGGGCAGTGAAGGGGGACAGATGCGTGTTCTCTTTCAGGGGAGAAATGGGCGGGACCTGCTGAGGGAGGGGAGGGACGGAGTCAGGAACATCTGCCAGGTCTCTGGCTTGAGCTGCTGGGAGCTGAGTGGGGAAGCCATTTGCTAAAAGTGGGGGTGGAGTGGGGAGCAGGTCTTGTGGTTTTGTGAGCAGGGCATAGCGTGTGTGAGTCAGGCCAGAAGGTGAGGACAGAGACTCATGCAGGGGTGCTGGGCAGTGGTTTTGTTTTCCTTTGGGGGAGAGGATTTCCAGCTGGACTTCTTCCCCACTAGAGCCATCCTGGGGAGGTGTGCTCCGCTCTCAATCTCTGCGAGTCTCTTCAGAAGCACCTGGCAGAATTGAATCACCAGAAACAGCTCGAGTCCAATAAGATCCCGGAACTGGATGTGGCTGAGGTGGTGGCTCCCTTCATGGCCAACATCCCCCTCCTCCTCTACCCTCAGGATGGCCCCCACAGCGAGCCCCAGCAGAAGGTAAGGCTGTAGGCCCAGCCTCTGAGGGCCCTGTTCCTGGTTGGATTAGAGATGACCCATGAGAGGGGCGCTGTGTGTGTGTGTGTGTGTGTGTGTGTGCGCGCCTCCAGCTGGGGGCTTACTCCTTCATTTGACCTGCAGTCTCCTGAACCACACTTCAGATGGTTGTACCGTGGAGGTTCTGAAGAACCTGGGATATTTAAAGTATGCAGAGACTTCTCTCCATTGCAATTCAATTCATTGAAATTAGTGCCTAATTGATTTTAAGCCCGTTGATAATTTTAGAGCCTATCAAACCAGAGCTGGGACACCTGTTTGGCTCACTTGGCGGAGTGTGTAACTCTGGATCTCGGGGTTGTGGGTTCAGGTGCTGCACTGGGTATAGCCATTATTAAAAAAAAATACACAAGCTTTAAAAACACAGAACCGTTCAGTCATTCCCTCCCTAGTGCTGTGGTCATGAGCCCATAAGGAAATTTTCTTGGGAATTTGGATCCTCTTAGTGATCCTAGGACTGTGCTGGGTTTACGCCTGACAGCCCTGCCCCCCTGCCGCCCCTTCTCTGTAGGCTGGTGGGGACGTCTGCCAGGACTGCATCCAGATGGTGACGGACATCCAGAACGCTGTAAGGACCAACTCCACCTTTGTTGAAGCTTTGGTGGACCATGCCAAGGCACAGTGTGATCTCCTGGGGCCCGGCATGGCTGACATGGTAAATCTTGTCTCCTCATGCATGGTGGGGGTGCTCTGGGCCAGGGAGCTGGGCTCTGGACATAGGAGGGGGGACCCAAGAAAACTTCAGTGCCTGAGGTACCATTTTAAGTTCTCACCCCAGAGCTTCGAGGAAGAGATGGTTCAAGCAACGCACGCTTTCTTTTCCCCAGAAAGCATCTGGAATACTTGTTGCTTACTTAAATGCTTTGTTGGCTGGTTGAATGTGTATGTGTAACCAAACACTTGGGATAAAAGAGTGGAAGGAGACCACTTTTGTGAGGATTTGTTTTGTGAGGATTTTCCTTCCAGGCACTGTATGTATAAGAAACGACACTAGAATCCTTTATAACCTTGTTTTTAAAAGCCTGGCTGTTGTGTATAATTCTGAGTGTGCTCTCCCCACAGCCGGGGGTTTGTCCATGGGAAGCCGTGCGGGGGCTCACAAGAGGTTCATCCGGGACGCCTTCCTTACCTTGGTGGATGTTCATCCTACAGGCTTAGAAACTCATTTTGTTAGTCTCTTAGAGGATTTCACTTCTTGGACCTTATACACATTAACCACACTTGTGTGAAGTTGATGTGTGAAACCCAAGTGCTAGTTTTATACCTGGCAACGGAAAAACCTCGGCTAGACTAGATGTAGGGAAGCTGGTTGTACAAGTCCATGGATCTAGGACCTAGAGCAGCCTTCTTGGGTAGGAATGGCTAGTTCTGGGAGCTCTGGGTTCTTCCCGGAGGACTTCCTCGGGGAGGCTTTTGGCCTTCTTGAAGTATCTTTGTATATCGCTGTGTTAACGTGCTTCCCCAGCTCAGTCCTGTGCTGAGGGCTGTTATTACCCTTGGCCTTCTCACTGTGGGGGCACCAGTGTGGCCAGAACTCTTCTGTGAGGGTCTACAGGAATGAATTATCTAGATGTGGATGAAAGGAAGTTTGCTGAAAATCATAACTTGATTCCTCCTGGATTTTAGCTTTATAATCTTGGCCAGGAATGCATGAGCGGGTTTGAAAAGTCACCGTGAGTTCACAGTAGCATCCACGTTCAGAACTGCTCCTGAGAAGTTCCTCTGTGAACTTGGGGCGAGTTCGGGCTGTAAAAGGAGATTGGAAGACCTCCTCTCGAAGAGCCTTCGAGACACATTTTCAAAACACCCTTTGCACACTTCTTCCTATGAGGTTTAGGATAAACAAATTGCCATCTTTATCTCAAGATGTAAGACTGTACTCTGGGAAACTTAATAGTCACTTGCTGCCATTGTTGGACACGCTGGGTTTGTGGTGTGTGATTGCAACGATTAGTGTCACTAACAACCGATTTCTCTCTCCCCAGTGCAAGAACTATATCAACCAGTATTCGGACATTGCTGTCCAGATGATGATGCACATGGTAGGTGGCGCAACGTTCCCTGTTAGCACTCTTTGCCTCAAACTTTGTGATTCCCAGGTTTTTGAACATTATATGGTTTAGTTTCCCTTTTCTCCCCTCAGATAACGATTTGGGTTAAAGTGAACCTTGTTCAACCAGCAGACTCTCTACCCACAATTCAGTGCCCCCCTTACCTTCCCCGGCCAGGGGACAGGCTAAGGCAGTCCCCCGCTTCCTCCCCCCAGGACTGCCCTGGTAGCTTCTGGGTGATTAGTTGGCCTGTGCCTAATGGGCTGGTCATCGGGTTTCTAGCGTCTGGCTTTTACCCTGGGACCTGTGGGAATCGTCTGCTCTGGAGCTAGGCTAGGCCTGAGAATTGCTACGTTGCGGCTGGAGTTTGGGGGCGTGGGGAGACCTGTCTGCATGTGCTTCTGACCGCATCCAGGTGGTCAGGGCAGCCCTGCGTCCTTAGAGGCAGAAGATACTGATCGTGGCAGTGGGGCTAGCTAGCTCCGTGTAGAAAACTGGTTCAGAGCAGGGTGGTCTGAAGGGATTCTTAAATTGGGGACGTGCCCTGGCTTCCTGAGATCGAAGCTGCGGGGGCCGAGGGGGGTGGTGGGTTGCACGTTTTGTGTCTCCATCCTGCCGACTTTCTGACCATGCTGAGTTTGTTCTCCAGCTGGGGTCAGCAGACTGTGTGGCCCACCGCCTGGTTGTGTAAAGTTTCACTGGAGCACAGGGATCCTCCTCCCGTTCTGGGCTGTGACCGCAGAGTTGCAGAGCTGAGAGCTGCCAGCCGGCACGGGGGAAGACTGATGTGGCCTAGCTGTAACTGCTCAGGGGCTCCGGCCAGGCGAGAGAGGGTGTCTTTGGGATTATTACACCCTGCCTTGTTCTAGAAGTGCTTCAGAGGCCGCTCACAGAGACACAGGGCTAGAGGAGGAGATAAGTAAGCCTTTGATTTTGATTTGGTTAAGTGCTTCGTCATTGATAACTGAAAATTTTCTCATTGTAAAAGATAGACTACACAGATGTTTTTTGGAAATACAAAAAATACTTCCCAAATCACAGATCATTTGCGGTTTAAAAAAAAAAAAAAAAGGCAGTGAGGTGGCATGGTTATATATTACTTCGAACCTAGTACTATGCATAATTTTGTTTCTGAATGCATTGGTCATTAAACATTCTTGTAAATGATTTTGAAGTGGCCGCATAGGCTTCCGTGTGGATGGAAGATCATTTCCATGACCCATCTGCTTTGGGTGTTGACGTGGCTTTGGGGTTTGTCTTGGGGATGGAAAGCATGAGGCTCCCCCTTGCAGTCAGAGAGATAGATGTGCAGATCCCTGTTTCTCCCTTAGCACAGATAACCAGAACTGGAATTGCTGAATCAAAGGGTAAGTGATATTTTGTTAAATGGGCCTTCCAGCCTGGCATCTGGCTCCCTGGGGTAGTTGCCCTGCGGCCCGGGCAGCAGGGGAAGTGGTTCCAGATCCCCGGCCCCCTGGGTGTATTTTATATTCCAGTGCACACCCCTGACTTGGGCAGGCCTGTGTCACGTTCCCCTTTGCTGCTCCTCCCCTTGTAGGCATGTGGGGCTTGGGCTTGTGAGGATAGAGAGCTCCTCATCACCTGGCATTTTCTGGGATCTGCTGTCCGGTGTTTTTGAGTATGATTTGGTGTGTCAAGGGCATGGGGGCAATGCACACACCAGCTGGACAGTGTGGTCTGTCCCTTGAGGGCCAGAAGAGCTTTCAGGACCCCCCAAGATAGTAGGAACAAGGTAGGTTGCTGATTTGTGACTGCAAGGTTTCCCCTGAATTTCTGGTGATGTACTTACTCCTTCGTTAACTGATTGTTATTTTAATTTTTTCTTAACTGTTGTGTCCTTTCCTTTCTCTTATTTTCATCTCCGATTTCCTGTTTTTTTGTTCAACAGCAGGATCAGGTATGTGATGGGGAATTTGCTTGTAGTGGTGGTCTGCTGCTTGTAGTTATTTCGCCTTTTTTTTTTTTTTTTTTTTTTTAACGGCATGATCTGTGTTAGTAGGCTGGTGGGGGAGCTTCTGCATCTCTCCCCTGTGATGTAGCACTTGAGGTCCTGGGGGTCTCCTCTCCCCTTCAGGGGCTGAGAAAGGGAAGCCAGCAGGGCCTTGGACTCTGGCAAAAAGCCAGCGCTCAGCTGGCCATGTGCATGCCACCCGTGTGATGACGGGGACAGTGGGTGACCCCGGAGGTGCCTCGGCTTCCTTGACTGTAGGCCTGATTGCCGGTAGGACACCTTGTTTCTGTCATGACTCGAGGGACCATTGCATGTCTTCAATCCTGTTTTCCATAACCCCAGAATTGCTTCTGCTGCATGAGCAAATCATTTACAAATAGCGAGCAGACTGTTCCCGTCTGTTGGATCCAGAGAGTTGGAAACAATCTCTTGATTTGTGCTTCTGCCCCTCTGGGTGATGGGGTCCTGCAGCTCCTGGAGCCACACAGATGGCTCGAGAGCCAGGCCAGTGGTGGCTTAATATTGGGACTACGCCCCCAGACTGTACTTACTGAGCCAGGATCCTCTCTTGAGCACTGACATCTCTGTGCGAGTAAAGATTTTTCAAAGGTATTTTGAAGTCTGATAGGAGACGACTTCGGCTGAAATACCTGTATTTTCACCTAAACTGCCCCACCCAGTGGAAGAGAGTTCATCTGAGGAGGGAGAACAGAGTTCATCAGAGGCAAAGCAGCCCCTACACCTCCTGCGTCTTTGTCTTTTTTCTAAAAAGCTTGCTGTGTCTTTGGCCCCATCCTGGTTTTCTCCCCATTCTTGAAGTGTGCCGGAGACAGGATATTTAGGATACTTTCCAACGTCCTCAATCTTAATCTAGAGACTTCTCAGGATTAAAACAAGGTCGGCCATAGCCATGGTCTAGCTCTCTTGCATTAACAGGTCTCGTGTTAGCAGTCCTGGCCTGCTGCTTTCTGGTTTGGTGGTGGGAGGCAGTTGCTCTCAGGCCCAGAGCTGGGCTCTGGTTGCATTTGGGCTCACAAAGTGCTTTGTGTAAAGCACACATGACTTTCTCACTCTTGGCCAGCATCGTGGTGAAACGGCAAGATGTCCAAGTTACTAGTTCTGCCTACTTCCCTGTGGTTTGGTGTCTGGATGGGAAAGGGGATAAGTCTGGGGCTTCTGTGACCTGAAAGAATTTATTACTCGGGGGCATTGGGTTTTTGTATGTACTGTGTTTGTGTAATTATAAAAATAGAATGTGGTTTTTCAAAAAAAAAATCAACCTTTTTTTTTTTTTCTTTGAAATGGTCCTGCCACCGAAAGATTTTAAGACACTTGGCTTTCTGTTTGTGGGCATGGTGGCTTCTCCTCCAGAAAGAGCTCGCAGCTTATTTCCTACTGAGAGTGAACCAGCTCAACTGAGAAACAGGTTTTAGAGCAGACCAGGTGTCCTGGGAGAAGATGTGATTGCCTGTGGACAAGGGAGACCGGTGGCAGTAGTCTAACTTCGCGGGGCTGCTCCCTGGCTGGAGCAGGGACAGTGGTCTTGTCTGCTTTCCCTTCAGAGCTTTGCGTGGCCTCCTCCCTGTGTGAAACGGACACGTCTGCGTTTACAGGAGTCCCTCTAGATTTAACATGGAGTCTGGTAGTCAGGCTTGACGTGTGACCGGGGTGCTCCCTCAGCACCCCGTCCTTTGTGTGTAGAGAGTGGGACTGAGGGATGTGGGTGCGGGCCTACATCTGACTGACCGTTCTGTGCCTTCTCAGCAACCCAAAGAGATCTGTGTCCTGGTTGGGTTCTGCGACCAAGCGAAGGAGATGCCCATGCAGACTCTGATCCCTGCCAAAGTGGTCTCAGAGAACGTCATCCCTGCATTGGAACTGGTGGAGCCCATTAAGGTACCGGGTGTCCTCCTGTTGTCCTGGCCGGGCCCGTGTCATGCGCAGGCCACTCCACATTGTACTGCGTTCTGTGAGGCACACACTTTTTTGGTTCCTTGCCTAACTCCTATAGGTATTGGAGTTTGAGACCATCCATTAGTCTCTGGGGTTCCTGCATGTGTGCAGCCTCCTGCTCCTAGGCCTGAGTACATTTATTTCCTTGGTTAGGAGCCCGAGTGCCCCACGGGAACAGCCTCCATCCGTAGCGTGTCCACAGCTTCCTCTGACACGTTGCCCCCGCCCCCCCGCTGCCGCCGCCCTACCCATGGTCACTGCAGCACAAGCCTCATGTTCCCAGAACACCTGGGGCTCACGCAGAAGCCTCTTGGTGTGCTGCTTGTGTGCACAGGGTGGGTGTGTGGTTTCCCTAGCACCCGTTGCTAGAGAACACCATGTTCCCCAGTTTACACTCAGCACTTGCTACGGCCCTGGCAGTGTGTTAGAGATTGAGTCCTGAAACTGTTGACCTGCAGGAGTCAGCAGACTTGTCCTGGTGTTCGCGTGGCTCCCGCTTTAGTTCTGAGAAGGGCCGGGCCTCATGACATTTTACCACATGGCCCAGGCACACGCACACGATTCTAGTTCCAGAACTTCTATGTCACTTGACCTTCAGCGGTTTCGTCTCCCTCTCCTGTCCTCCCTCAGCATGTGCAGTGTCTGGAGCACATGGTTAAGAAGTCGGATGGAGTTGGGGAGGCACTTCTGCCTGCCCAGTTTTGCTGACTGAATTAATAGCCAGAGGAGATGAAGGAGAGTTAGAGCTTATCTTCTAGCTGCATGTGACTACTTACGTTTAAGTAAAATAACACAAAACTTGAAACGATTTTAGTTTGATGTTACCCTGGCCACATTCCGAGTACTTCATAAACAGGTGTGGCCCGCGCTGCTCTGCTGGACGGCAGAGGTGGAGAATGTTGCTGCTGTCACAGAGGGTTGTTTCGCAGTGTTACTTTAGGCAGGGCTGGCTCTAGGAAGGCAGTCTCAGGTACGAGTGAGACTTGAAACTCCAGAGCAGACCTGAAATGTGTTTAGAGCTGTGTCTCGTAAACAGGGGACAGGTAGTGAGTCCTCACTCTGTCCTGCGCCCCCACCCACATTCCCAGAATGACTCTGGAAGGCTGAAATGATTGTGACCAGGTAAGATAGATCATGTGGACTGTTCTTAGGGGTCAGGGGATGGTTTCTTTGCTTCTGTCTGCTGAAGTACGAATTCCTGGTTTTTCTTTGGGGCTGGGGGGTGTGTGGCAGGAGATACTGGTGGAAGAGCAGTGGGCAGAGGGATGGGTCAGGGACAGGAACTTGGACACTGGGAGGAAGCCAGTCTTTGTGTGACATTCTCCTGTCCTTAGCCACAGGATGTCTCTTCCCCTTTAGAGCAGCAGGACTCTCCCCTGAGTGATTAGGGCATTAATGTGCTCTCGGCATTAATGTGCTCTCCTGCCCTTCCCACAGAAGGACACGGTCCAGGCAAAGACCAGTGTTAGTTGTGAGATATGCGAGTATGTGGTGAAGGAGGTGGCCAAGCTCATTGACAACAACAGGACTGAGGTATGTGCATTTCTAGAATGCTCGAGTGTTCCCGTTCCCTAGTGGCAGAACCAGCAGAAGAGGTGGGCTTGGCCCTTGCCAGCATTGGACAGCAGCCCTTGGAATCTGCTTACCCGCTGCCCACCGGTGGGTCCCTCTGGGCTGGGGTGGGGCTGCTTTGTAGGTCTCATCTTTCTGGGGAGGAAATAGCACCTTGCTGTTGGCTGGTTTCTTGGATGTTAGTATTTTGAGAATCTTTTCTGGCCCCATCAGCCTCTCCTCTTCTAATAGGATCCTCTTGTTTTGTGTTTCAGGAAGAAATAGTTCAGGCTTTGGATAAAGTGTGCTCAAAGTTGCCTAAGTCCTTATCTGAACAGTGCCAGGAGGTGGTGGACACGTACGGCGCCTCCATCCTGTCGATCCTCCTGCAGGAGGCGAGCCCTGAGATGGTGTGCACCCTGCTCCACCTGTGCCCCACCGAGGGGCTGCCCGTGCTGCCTGGTGAGCGGGGTGAGGGGGTGGCCGGCCGGCCCCTGGGGCTTGGGAGGACCCTGCCGGCACTGAGCCTGTGCCCCTGTGTGTAGTCCGTGTCATTCAGCCGAAGGACGGGGGCTTCTGTGAGGTGTGCAAGAAGCTGGTGAGCTATTTGGACCACAACCTGGAGAAAAACAGCACGAAGCAGGAGATCCTGGCTGCTCTCGAGAAAGGCTGCAGCTTCCTTCCTGACCCCTACCAGAAGCAGGTATGCCCCGGGCTGCTTGGGGCCGGAAGGTCAGAACCCGCGGGTGGAGTGCAGAGGCTGGGGTGGCTCACTGATTGTGCCCCCGATTGAGGTTTTTCAGGGAAAACTAGCCATTTCTTAGAGGTATCTGTTGGCTCAAGGGGAGCCACGGAGGGGCAGTAGCAGAAGCAGGTGCGGGGAAGCTGAGCGTGGCCGGGTGGGCTATCTGGGAAGGGGGTGCCGGGCTGGCAGAGCATGCCTAGCGCCCCACCTCGACTTGGACCCATCTCCCTCTTTACCGAACAGTGTGATCAGTTTGTGACTGAGTACGAGCCCGTGCTGATAGAAGTGCTGGTGGAGGTGATGGACCCTTCCTTCGTGTGCTTGGTAAGCTCCTGGGCGGCGTGGGGCCCGGCTGGTTCTGCATGGAGCAGGGGTCCTCAGAGGTTCTGGAGACTCTTGGGGGATGGACTGTGGGAGGACACTGACTTTGGAAGTGCACATCTGAGCTCTAGTTCCTGTTGCTTCTAGAAGCTGATAATCTTTAGTTTTGAAAAGGATCATTGGAGTAGATCTAATTCTTCCCCCTTTTTCACCACACAGAAAATTGGAGCCTGCCCCGCGGCCCGTAAGCCTCTTTTGGGAACCGAGAAGTGTGTGTGGGGCCCCAGCTACTGGTGTCAGAACATGGAGGCGGCGACCCAGTGCAACGTGAGTAGCTTGGTGCCCGCTGCACAGGCCTGGCGGGCAGGCTGCCTCCCGGGGTGGGTAACCCCGGCGGAGGTGGGGGCTCCGCCGTCGGTGCTCTGCCCAGCCTGTGTGCCCAGAGGAGCAAGCAGGCTTGTTCGTGGCCGCGCATCAAGGCTGGGGGACTGACAGCCTTCTTGCCTTGGAGAAGTGAAGGGTTGGGGGTATTCTGCGGTGTTTTTTGCTTCTGCTTCCTTGTTTTTGCCTTTAGTTCCCTTGTGATGGGGTCAGGATCAGATTTGCACAAGGCCACCCTAGAGATTGCACAAGTCCTCTTCTCCCTTGGGTCAGTCTTGGCTAGAGCCTGGCCTGAGTCTTCACCCAAGGCTGAGCCGCTGTTCTTGAGTGGCCTTGAGACTGGGTGCCTGCCCAGCAGTTCCCAGGCCACCAGCGCTGTCCTGCCCGGGCCGCCAGTGGTGGTGCCCTACACTGCTTGCTGTGGTGGGGACGTGTGGACCAGTCGGTTACTTAATGTTCTTTTGCGCAACTTTTTCTTCCTGGAGTGGGTTCCTCATGACCAGGTCCTCAGGACTGCTGGCCCAATTGTGTCACTTCGGGCCCCTGCAGGGAAGGGGTGGTGATGGCCACCTGGGTCCAGCTCCTTGCCCCGCTGGCCCCAGCGCATGGCACAGTTGGGAGGAGCCACTTCCTGCTGCCGTCCTGGGTCAAGGGGCCTGTGGGCCATTGTTCATGAGGCCTCAGCTGGTGTGCGTGCTCTTGGGTGAGGGGTTCTGCCTCGGGGGGCTTCCGTGCCGCCAGCTGAGCGCTGGGACTCTGCCTGTAACCAGATGGAGGGGTCCCGGGCCCTCCCTGCATGGGTGGCTCACCTGTGAAACACTCAGGCACTTTGCAGCTGCTATTTTGGACTCTTGCCTCAGGGGTCCCTGACGGTCAGGGGGCCACATGCTCCCCAGTTTTAAGTGGGGTGCTGTCCAGCTAAGGAGAAGAGATTCCATTTTTGGGTGCTGTCTGCTGCACGAACAGGCCAGGAGTAGGGTTTGTCATGTGAAGACTAAATCCAGCTTCCTCTCTCCTGTCAGGCCGTGGAGCATTGCAAACGTCACGTGTGGAACTAGAAGGGGCGTTCCATCTTGGAGAAACTGCAGCATCTTTTTCTACTTGTGTGTCTGGGGCAGTGAACACACCGATCTGTTGATTGTGTTACAAAAATAGGTCCCCTTTTCCTCCTTCCCTTTCCTGTCCCCCGTAGCATTGCTGTCCGTACAGGAGGCGCCTGGCCCGCAGCTGCCCTTGCTGCTCCACTGTCCCTTTCCTTTGCCTAGACAGCTGAGGACGGACTGTGCACTGGAGGGCTTTCAGCCTGCCCTTGCGTGGTGGGTTCCTGGAGGTGGTGGTGGGGGGGGCTCTGGGGGCAGGTGCCAGCCAGAGCTGCTTGCCAGAAGGTTCTCGGTCCTCTTGGCCTGGGCCTTGTTCTGAGCCCTCCACCTACCCCTGAGCAGGGACCTCCCCTCTTCCTGGGCCGCTCTACAGAGAAGCAAAACAAAGGCAGTTTTATATGAAAGATTAGAGGCTCAGAATAATGAGGCTTTTAAAAACCATGTGGTTCTCACTGTAGGGGAGATGCAGGAAGCAGCTGCTCGGGAGACCTGGGTGGATCTCCGGTTCGCCGTCCCCAGGTCACCCTCCAATTCAGCTTTGGGGTGTCTTTCCTGGTGATGCCTTGTTCGGGGTTCTGTGGGTGTGGGAGGGAGGGGGAGCACCTGCCTGAAGGTCCTGTGGGCCTGGCTTTTGTGTGTGTGGACAGTGGTGGCCGCCTCTTGCTTGCTCTTGTGTCCGCCCGGCTGCTGAAGTCTTACTTCGAGCGTCTCTAGCGCTGCCCTTGGCTCTGGGCCCCCTCACCTCTAAACCCCACCCCCCCTTTCATAGATGTTCTTGTTGACCTTGAGATAAATGTGGACAAGACACTCCTAAGCCTCTGGCTGTCAGGTGGAAGGGGTCCTGTCCAGGCCTTGGCTGTTGCCCCACCTCTCCCGTGTAGCCGCCTCTTCTGTTCCACTTCTAGCTGCCAGGAGACAGCGAGACGTGCAGTTGCTATTAAATGGACTTAATGACTGTTTTGGTTTGTTTTGCACTAAAGTTTCTGTGATTTAACAATAAATAAAGTCTGTTAACCAGACCTGAGCCTGAGTGCTTTCGTAACACTTAGCCAGCGTTTGGGTTCTGAGCGCTCCAGGGCCACGGGTGTGTGGGTGTCCAGCGGCCTTCTGGCCCTTCTTGGCCACAGAAAGCAAGCAGAGTGGGCAGAGAATCCCACCAGGCTCCTCTCTGATGGGCCAGGCCCCCCCCCCTCCCCCCAGGCCAACCCCAAGGGTAGTTTACCAGAGCCACAATTGTCCAACCTTGTGAGTTGCCTTTCTTATTTAAAATGCAGACCATTCCAGAAACGTTCAGTGAGTACCAAACAAAATCAAGGGGAAAATGTTGAGGGAATAACTTAATTTAAAAAAGGAATACACACAAACACTCTACATTCAGAACCAAAGGGAATACCAGTCCTTTCTCTTTATGAGATGGGCGCATTTGGGAAGCCTGTGGAATGTAGAGAACGCAGTTCGTGGATGTTGGTCATGTCCATGTAGGGAGGCAGGAATCACTCACGGCTCCTGGCTGGATGTCCAGCCAGAGATGTGCTAGAAATGCACTGGGACGTGCACTGCAGTCAGGGAGTCAAGGCCAGGTGGGGTATGCCAGTTCTGGGTCTCCCTCCCCTGGTGCTGGAAGTGGGGGAGGGGTTTGGGGTGGGGACAGTGGATAGGGATGTGGGGAGGGGAGGGGAGAGAGGGCTGCTTGGCCTCTTAGAGTTCAGCTTGGGCTGAGTTTGTTCTCAGACTCCTGGGCCCCCAGTGACCCTCCTTACCTTGTCCTTAGACGCTTATCATTTTTTGTTTGGTTTTCTTAAAAAAATAACAAATTTTATGAAGGTAGAGGTCAGGTGCTGAATGGGCGTCTGGCAGAAGTGGAATGTGAGCCGCTGGAGCGGGCTCCCCCAGGCCCTGGTGAGATGGTGCAGCCCCCGCAGGCCTGGGGAGGGGTCTGCACTGTGGTCCTGCCCCGCCCTGCCCTGGGAGGGATGGGAGACACCAGTGAGATCCCCCCGGCTGTCTGGTCATAGCTCTGTGATCTCCAGGGGGCTCTCGAGGATCACATCCCGAAGCTTGTGCAGGGGCGTGGATTTGGCCGACTCCGTGCGGGCGTTGTGCTCAAAGGCGCTAGCCTCTGTGGCTGTCAGGGTCTCCAGCGAGCGACCCAGGCCCTTCTGGTCGTCCTCGGGCAGGCTGTTGAGGTCCGTGGCCAGCAGTGTGCCGGTGCTGCCGTGCACCACGTGGATGCCGTCGGGGCCCTTGAGCTCTGTCGGCAGCTTGTGGCGGAAGCGCAGGCTGCCCTGGCCGGGGCTGCGTTCCCCTGGCTCTTCCTCCAGCTCGGTCTGGATCAGCTGCAAGAGGCCAGGATCCCCCAATGGCTCTGGGACTCAAGCCACTCCACGCTCAAGGCCATGCTCAAGGGCTGAGCAGGTGAATGGCCCCCGAGTCCTGAACCTGCTCTGTCCCTATTTCCTCCCTATTGCACACAGGTAGCTGCAAGGAACTCGGGGTTCACACGTCAGTAGGCCTGTCAGCTGATGACTGTTTCTCAAACTGGGTACACCACGGACACTTAGGGTGCTGTAGCCGAGTTCTTAGCATGTGGGTTTCCCACGAGAATCATGAATTTTGTTTCATGATCTATAAAGATCCTACGAAGCAGTTTTTGTATCTGGATGTTACCCAGGTGTCCTCCCAACAGGATCCACTCTGGCCAGGTAGGGAGTGTCGATAGGGGAAGTTGGAAAGGGGGATAGGATTCAGTGGAAACTCGACACGGGGCACTTTTGTCCCATGTGGATCTGTTTGCTCTGGCCTATTCCATTTGGGAACTGTTGGCCCAATGGGAAATCTGGGTTTTTAAATAAAGTCTGAATTTTTAAAGTGTTGACATTACTGCAGGCAAACAACACTATATAGACCCATCTGACCGTGAGCAGTTCCCTGTAGGACATTACTCTTTCAGGGCATCTTCTGGGGCTCCGTAAGTCGAAGAAACACTCCGCAGCACCCACCCTGGGAAAGCCCACTGAGAAACCCAGAAAGTCGACTTCCTGGACCCCACCCATTGCTGTCTTGCTCTGGCTGCTGAACTCCACAGAGACTCTGAGAAGGATGAGCGTGGCCCGGGGAAGGGAGGGAGGGAAGAAATGAGCACCCCCAGCGCTGGGGCACAGCACACAGTTCCGGGCCGGCCCGGCTACCTCAGAGATGGAGGAGTGGCAGGAGGAGGCTTTTTGCACCATCCGCTGTGCAAAGAGCTTTTTGAGCCGCAGGTAATCCTCCAGGACCACCTTGAGCAGCGAGCCCTGGGGGAGGGAGAGGGTTAACCCCCCACCAAGGCCTCCCCATTCCCCCACCCGCCACAGCCCTCACTCCCGTAACCCTGATGAGGGTGATGGAAGGTGCTAGTAGTTGGGTGCACAGGCAGCTGATCTAAGGGTAGAGGATTGGGAGCAGAGCCTGGTGAGAGTGACCAGCTGGAACCTGTGTGGGCTGCTGCAGGCTGGAGCAGTTCCCCATCAGCCCCATGCCTGGGCCCCCCTTTCTGTGCTGTCATTCTCGCTCAGTAGAGGGCAGATCTAGCTGAGCCTAGAGGTGGAAAAAGTTGTTTCCCAGGATCCTACCCCATCCCTCTATCCTCTGGAGCTGGTCCCAGCGCCGCCAGAGGTCTGCGTGCGGGGCTGTGTGGGGGTGTGGTGCAGGAGCCTGCACGGAGGACTCACCTTGATGGGCCCCTCCCGGATGATCTGGCCCAGCTTGGCGATGTTGTCATACTCTTGGATGGCTGCGCGCAGGTACCGGTCGTCATCAGGCTTGACTGCTGCGGGTTCACGCCCAAACGTTCCCTGGGGAGAGAACACGAGCTGGAGCACAGCTGGGCTGTGTACACACACAGGGCAATGGATATGGCCCCCCGTACCCCCCGGAACCCAGCTCCTTGGCAAGCAGTGGCAAAGACCTGCTTTACCTCCATCCCATCCCTCACAGTCGTGCACCTGCCCTCGCCACCGCCCTGCCCCAGCTCCGGCCCTGGCTCACGTGGGTGCGGGTAGGGCTGTTCCACAGGTCTGCAATCTCACTCAGGTTCTCTGGCAGGTCGTCCTCACGCTCAGCCTGGGCAGCCAGCTCCAGGTTCCGGCAGAAAGGATCCAGCCACACGGGGTTGGCTCTGCACATGGGAGGGGGCGTGTGGAATGAGGAGGGACAGCCCGAGGGCACAGATGCCCTCGGAGCTTCACTGCTAACCCGACCCTTTTCCCTGGCCAGTCCAGGACTAGTGGGTCAGGGCCATGAGAAGCAGGCCCCTTGCCTCTGGTCCTCGGGGGTGTACCCTCCCACACTAGGATCCTACAAGAACCAGGACGATGTGTCAGTCTGGAGAAGCTTCGGTCCAGAGGCCTCATTCCGCACTTGGTAGCCACTCTGCACCTGTTCCCTGGCACTGGGAGCCCAGTTAGGGTGTAGATCCCAGCTCAGCAAGGGTGACTGGCCCACTAGGGGGCACCCCCACCCCAAGTTTTAGCTAGTCTTGTCCCTCGGAGCTTAAGGGGTGGTAGAGAACTTACTCCACCAGGGTCCTGGGTGGGCCTCCCCAAAGTACACCCTGAGGGCTCAGGGACCCCCACTTACCCATCAAAGGAATACTTGTTGGTGTTGGGCATGTCCATGATGTCAATGAAACCGCGGTTCCCTGTAGGGAGAAGTGCTGGGGCATGGAGGGAAGGGGTGCACCCTGCTGGGCCGGGGGAGCCCAGCCAACCTTGTGAGGCCTAGGCAGGCACTCTAGGCCCCTCAGGGCCCCTCCTACCCTCTTGGCTGCCCCCCCAACCCAATCACAGCCCTTTCTCACCTGCTGATCCAGCCACAATGGCTTTGAGCTTCCTCTTGTGTCTGGAGGGAAGCAGACAGAAGAGGGGCTAGTGAAGGAGGCTGGACAGGGCTGGCATCTCCCTGGCGGCCTCTGTGACTGTCCCAGGAGCAGGGAGGGGGGAGGGGGGGCACTCACACGGTCCTGTAGTACCAGTTCATGAGGATGAAGAGCATGGCCGCCAGGAAGAG